CTGCACTAGCTCGTAGCCTGGTGTCTGCTGCTACTAGCGGGCAACCTGGTGTATGCTGCTACTAGCTGACAGCCTGGTGTCTGCTTCCACTAGCTGGCAACCTGGTGTATGCTGCTACTAGCTGACAGCCTGGTGTCTGCTTCCACTAGCTGCCAACCTGGTATATGCTGCTACTAGCTGACAGCCTGGTGTCTGCTTCCACTAGCTGGCAGTCTGCATGAAAGGAAATGTATCCACTGAAAGATGAAAAAGAGGGAATAAATGTGATTCCATCTGTTCTTTGTACAAAACGGGGTAATCTAAATGATTATTAAAAAGGCAAATCCAACTTCCAGACAGAGATTGGTCTTTTAAACGCTGTCATCTGATCCATTTCCTTCCCGCCGACTATGTACATGGCGTTTGGAGATCTGGGTTCATACGCCGTCTCTTCTCTGATGAAGGGGTTGACACGAGGTGAGGGAGGTTCTCTGGTGCCTTCAGTGTTCCGCCGGGTGCAGGAACCAGAAGATCTATCGGAGCTCTGCTCCTGGTTAGAAGAAAATGTGACTTTGGCGGTTGAGGCAGGTTTCTGCGTGGAAGACCCTTCGTTGGATCCAGCTGGGTGTTCCTTCGTGCGGGTCTTGCTGAAGTGGGCCGTCTGGTTGTCAAAGGAGACAAAATCTTCGAGCCTTGCTAGAGTCAGGTCCAGTGGAGTTCGTCGCTCCATTTCGACACCAAGACCAATACCCGAGTCAGGCGGCGTCCGCAACATCTCCGCGAATTCCTTATGACGGATGCTCTCCAGGTCCAGAGCTCCGGTCCTCCAGTAGTCTTGACTCAACAAACCCTCAGAGTCTCGGCCAGGGTCAAACCCTACATAATTTGGGTTAGCGAAACTGCTGACTCCTCCAATGTTATAATGACAGTTGTTGTAAAGATTCGTATTACTGCTGAGGTTACTATCAGTGGTGCAGGAGAATGACATGAGGTTCTCACTAATACTAGTATCAGCTGACTGGATGGCATCATCGTGACTAAAAGCAAGACGTCCTTTAATCTCAGCCACCAAGTCACTTGGATCATCCTCTAAGCTGGCTTCAGTGGAGCCTTCGACTGGCAACACTGTGATAACTTTAATGTGGTTCACTGGCATTTGCGAGTCCTGAGCGTTCTCATCAACGTCCTTTATATCTCCAAAATTTGGCACTGAAACTATATCTCTCGTCATAGCACCTTTATCCCTTTCCATTTTCTCTATTTTATCCTTATTCATGACATGAATACTTTGAGATTTAACAATCTTGCTACCTAAACTATCACACGTGCTGGCTAACGATTCTTCAACTATACTTTCAGTACTGTCATTACTAAGCATACTGTAGCTGTAATAGCGACCCAAGTGGGACAAATTTAACTGAGAGAACTTAGAAATGGACAGTTTCAGTTGGGCAGCTGGAGCATTAGAACAGTTCCTCTGGATGATAGATCTCAGACGACTTGGATCAAGCTCGTCATCATCATCAGCATCAGCACACTCCTGGCAGGCACAGCTTCCTTGTTCCTCGCTAGGTCCTCGAGGCCTCCCACCCCCTGTATCCCCGCCACCACCTGAGCTCCCTCCCGAGGTGAAGGAGTTGTCTGGGTGAATTCTCCTGCTGCGGTATGGCTCATGACTTTGATAGCTGCTATAACCGCTGCTGCTGCTGCTGGTGGTGGCGGAGGAGGAGCCGAGGCTTGATGATGGGGTGTGAAAGCGAGGACCTTTCATATGGTGAGACGGGGCCACAAATGCACAGAATTGAGATCTGGGTTGAGGTCTGATGCCTGAAAACAGGAGTCGCTCCCAGGTGCTGGTGGCTGTAGACACAAACATTTGTTAATATCTCACTTATACCTCGGTACCACATATGCAACATATATATACATATATATATATATATATATATATTATATATATATTATATATATATATATATATATATATATATATATATATTATATTATATATATATATATATATATATATATATATATATATATATATATATATATAATATGAATATTAGCACCTGCTTTTTAAAGACAACATTATTATTATTATTATTATTATTATTATAAATTATTGTTATTAACTAGTATTATCAAGGTTAAACGCTATGCCTGGAAGTCACAGAACACCTTTGCAATGGGAGATGCGGGGTACTAATTAGGTTTGATCCACTTAAGACGCAGTGCTGACGTATTATCCACATGGGTGTCACCCCCTAAATGGTGTCAACTGCCCCGGGTGACACCATTTAGGGGGGTGACACCATAGAGCCTCTAAACTAATGGCGGCATTAAGTAATGGAAATTTCGTCTAACGGCACTTTTTGCCGTAGAAAATGCCTTAACCATTGGGGAGAAAAACTTAACTAACGACGTTTGTCCAGAACGTGTCGATGTGCCTGGAGTGCGGCCTGAGCGAGCCCAGCCACTCCAAGAGTCAGTGTGCCATTGTTTACAAGCTGTTGCGGTCGGTTTCCATGTGTGCCTTCCATATATTTTGGATAATTCCACTATTTCTAGTGCTTGTAACCACTAAATAAGCCACCATGGATCCCAAGAAAGCTTCTAGTGCCAAGCCTGTGTTAAAAAGGGTGAGAATTATGATGGAAATGAAGTCCTTCTGGAAGGGGATTCTCCTTCCAAGCAATAGACAATTCTGAATTTCCCTGCTGCTGGCACATCACTCATCAACAACTCCACAATAAAGGTAAGTGGCATTTAATTATTGTTTATTTTGCATGTCCCATTCCTTTCCATATAAGGAAATGTATATTTCATGTAAATTTTTTTTTTTTCAGACTTTGGGGTGTCAGGAACGGATTAATTCTATTTCCATTATTTCTTATGGGAAAAATTAACTCGACCAACGGCAATTTCGACCAACAGCAAGCCCTCTGGAACGGATTAATGCCGTTAGTTGAGGGTTCAATGTAACACTAATGACCAAAACCATGCTGCAGCAACCTAAGAGAAAAATCCTTCGTTTCTGTATAGCCTATTATAGGATTATAGAGTACAAATAGGCCTATATAGGGAAAATCATTGATTTTGATGATGTGATAGATGATTTTGCAGGATTGAAGGCAAGGAAATGAAATATCGAATTCTTTGAGATGTTACCTGTACTCAAGGTTAAATCGGAACAAGTTTTTTCTTTATTTTTAATTTTTTTTTATTGTTGAAGATGAATAAATGTAGGATCTGTTGCCTGTACTCAAAGTGGTATTTGAGTTTGTGTTTCCTCAATATTACTAGGATTATTTATTTTATCATTAATAAAGTTTGGTTTATGGCCTTTAAACGTTCTCATTACTAAACATTAGTCACTGGTCATGCAGCAGTGATGTAACTAGAGTTTACTACCCAGGCTCGGTGGCCTGGTGGCTAAAGCTCCCGCTTCACACACGGAGGGCCCGGGTTCGATTCTCGGTGGGTGGAAACATTTCGACACGTTTCCTTACACTTGTTGTCCTGTTCACCTGGGTGTTAGTCGACTGGTGTGGGTCGCATCCTGGGGGACAAGATTAAGGACCCCAATGGAAATAAGTTAGACAGTCCTCGATGACGCACTGACTTTCTTGGGTTATCCTGGGTGGCTAACCCTCCGGGGTTAAAAATCCAAACGAAATCTTATCTCTCTTATCTTATCCCCCTGCCCTTCGATTTCATGGGGGTGACACCAAAGATGCCGCCCTGGGTGACACCAAAGATGCCACCCCGGGTGACACTAAAGATGCCACCCTGGGTGACACTAAAGATGCCACCCTGGGTGACACCAAAGATGCCACCCTGGGTGACACCAAAGATGCCACCCCGGGTGACACTAAAGATGCCACCCTGGGTGACACTAAAGATGCCACCCTGGGTGACACCAAAGATGCCACCCTGGGTGACACTAAAGATGCCACCCTGGGTGACACTAAAGATGCCACTCTGGGTGACACCAAAGATGCCACCCTGGGTGACACCAAAGATGCCACCCTGGGTGACACCAAAGATGCCACCCTGGGTGACACTAAAGATGCCACCCTGGGTGACACTAAAGATGCCACCCTGGGTGACACCAAAGATGCCACCCTGGGTGACACCAAAGATGCCACCCTGGGTGACACCAAAGATGCCACCCTGGGTGACACCAAAGATGCCACCCTGGGTGACACCAAAGATGCCACCCTGGGTGACACCAAAGATGCCACCCTGGGTGACACCAAAGATGCCACCCTGGGTGACACCAAAGATGCCACCCCGGGTGACACCAAAGATGCCACCCCGGGTGACACCAAAGATGCCACCCTGGGTGACACTAAAGATGCCACCCCGGGTGACACCAAAGATGCCACCCCGGGTGACACTAAAGATGCCACCCTGGGTAACACCAAAGATGCCACCCCGGGTGACACCAAAGATGCCACCCCGGGTGACACCAAAAATTCCACCCTGGGTGACACTAAAGATGCCACCCTGGGTGACACCAAAGATTCAGCCCCGGGTGACACCAACCCTACCGACGCCTCTGCCGAAATGCTCTACATAACAAGGGGTTCTTTATACAGAAGTATGTCACTAATGTCAGCTATGGTCTGTATACCTTGTGCATGTACTTGTAGAAATAAAGATTATTATTATTATAGTATTGTCTATTATATACATACTTTAAGTGAAATTTTTGCAAAGTATCCCAGTAAAAACTCATTTTCTTTTATTCTTTATAACAGAAAACGAATATCTTTACCAGCAGGGGCTCACCTAATAACGTTACGACTTAGGAGTAAATTATATAAGTTACCCCGCTAGAGAAATTCGTTTTCTGTGAGGCCTAGTAGAAGAAAACATTTACTTTGACAGGGGATAACTGATCAATTTTTTAATTGTATTTATAATACTTCACAAACAGCATAGCAGTCTACTAAGATCCATGTCGGAACTCGCATTACCAAGTTCAACCAATGAAGAATGAGTCACAGTACCATGGCTGGAACCTAGAGAGGAAACAGACGGTATTTAAGCCCCAAGTTACCCTAGGTAATCTACACATATACTATGCATGATAATTTATGTAACTATAGTTACGTATACCTGTACCTAAATAAATTTACTATGGTTCATTTTGGAATTATAACCCAAGAAAACCGAGCAGTAAGGATAATTTCCATCTGGGGTCACTTTCTTTAGTTACTTGCCCAGGATGCTACCCACAACAGCTGAGTAACACCCATTTACTCATGTCCTGCTAAGTGAACAGAGGCAGCAGGTGTGAGGAGCCTTACAAATACCTCTCCCACCTCCCGGAACTCGATCCCAGGACCTTTCGGTTGAGAGAATAATGCTGTACGTATGCTAATATTAGTGAAATCATTCTCTTTTTTTATCGTTTAAGTTAGTATAAAACAAACTTTTAGAAAAATCTAAAATTATAAGATCTATGACTCAGTTATGTAGGAGTCCATAGGTAATCATTGTTATAGTTTAAAAGTCTGCAATAATATTTTATGTATAATATATTTTATTATCTATAATTATTCAGCAGTAGTGATTATTCAACAAAGTATCTGTCTATTATTCTATCTTGTTTACGATATAATGGGTAACTGATGATGGTCGAGGTATACCTGGAGTATACCTGGAGGGTGTTTTGGGGGTCAACTACCCGCCACCCGGTCCATTACCAGGCCTCACGGTGGATCAGAGACTGATCAACTAGGTCGTACATACCAAAGTGGAACCTCCAGAGGTCGTTGAGCATCTCTCCCTGTCGTTCTCCGCCGAAGACGACCATTGAGTCGTGGAGCTTGGCAGCTACATGGGAGTGTAGGTAGCCAGGGTTAGGTCTCGACCGTACCTGAGTCCACGTCCGGCTCCCTGTGGAAAGTGATCTTAGGTAAATTGTAAGTGAAGCCATTGAGAGACAAGCAGCATCTGACCTCACCCAGCATCTCCCCTCATCCAGCATCTCCTCTCATCCAGCATCTCTCTTCATCCAGTATCTCGTATTCTTACTCGTGAAATACTAGTCAATATGCTCCTCACGTTGGGTCACCTTACTTATACAATTTCCAAAACTTTCCTGTTCTTAGTAAATGTGCAGACAATAACCCAAATATTCTTTCATATGTTCTTATTTATGCCCGAAATGCCTAGCCATGCTAAGCGTTCTAGTGGTACACTCTGTAATCACAATTTTACTACATGTAAACCAAACAATAACCAAATTTCTGTAAACTCAGCATTGTAATCCCTATAGAGAATAAACTTTGAATTTGAATTGAACTGAATTTGAATTTGAATTCATTTAGCACTCGCAAAGCACTCCCATTTTTGAATCATTCTGAAATTATAAAAACCTTTCAGAGTTTTTTTTTTTTCACCATCCTTGCACCAGCAGCCTAGGTGGTCAGGGAAACTCACCCCCTATTGCAGGAGAGGTTTAACGCTACATAAAATACAATTATCTCCTGTATCGACCGTCCTGTATCTATCCTACTGCTCCTACCATACTGTGCGTACCCTACTGTGCCCGCAAAACTCTACTGTGTACACTATCACTACTTGTCAAACTTCACCCTACACACTTCCTCCAACTCCTCTTTTCTTGCATGCTAGTCAACTTTCGAAAGAAAGTTGACTAGCGAAGGTTGACTCATGCCAGTGGCCTGGTGGCTAAAGCTCCCGCTTCACACACGGAGGGCCCGGGTTCGATTCCCGGCGGGTGGAAACATTTCGACACGTTTCCTTACACCTGTTGTCCTGTTCACCTAGCAGCAAATAGGTACCTGGGTGTTAGTCGACTGGTGTGGGTCGCATCCTGGGGGACAAGATTAAGGACCCCAATGGAAATAAGTTAGACAGTCCTCGATGACGCACTGACTTTCTTGGGTTATCCTGGGTGGCTAACCCTCCGGGGATTAAAAATCCGAACGAAATCTTATCTTATCTTATCATCTAGTTGAATCTTCATGCCTTTAACTTTCAAGCATCATTTTCTTTAACTCATTCACTTTTTTAACTCATTAACTTTTATACACACTGATACTATTATTTCTGTATACAATTTCCCTGTTATCAGTAGCTCGACTAAAAGCAGGTAAAGCCCTATTTTTTTCATTTATTTACTGACACATAATTCAGCCACACTGCTCTTGTTGCACATTTCATCGGGTCAATACAGATCAAGGGTCTTAGCCTAAATTTTCGCATGTTTATAAATGCTAAATTCATCCATTACATTTTGTACAAGGTATCTTATGGATACAGTTAAGTCATTCTCTATCTGTCTGTCTGTCTATCTCTCTCTCTCTCTCTCTCTCTCACACAGTCACTGACCTGTATCGTAGCGCCACAAGTCATTCCTTTCCTGGAGGTCGGTCATGCCACCATAGACCCACATGTGATGATCCTTCATGATGGCGGAGTGGGCGTGTCTAGGGGCTGGCTGCTCCCCCCGAGACGACACTTGCGTCCACGTCTCCTCCTCTGTGGATATCAATGCAATTTTACCTCTAAGAACACTCTAAGCTACGAGAAAACTTTATTTCACGACGTTTCGCCTACAGTAATGCTGTGGGTGAAATATGGATACAGAACAGGAGAAGTAGGAACCTGTTTGGGACTGGGTCAAGTGGGGCCTCTCGCTTCCCCTCCAGACACCTCGAGAGTGAGTTCAAGGAGCAAGCAGGGTTTCTCATTCTTCCTGAGCTCTCACACTTGTGAGGTGTAGAGGCCCAGACACACACACTAACTAGGTCCCAGCCTCAATACACGACCTCTTCGAGAAGAAATCCTGGGTGAAGGAGTGGAGATGAGGTCACCTCAAGACGAAGTATGAGGCTGTCTCAGTATACGACCTTCCAGAGAAGAAACCCCGGGTGAAGGAGTGGAGCATCAGCTGTCTGAGAAAGTGAACATTGTTCTGAGAACAATGGTGGCGCTGACAGTGACTAAGTCGTGGACTCTTGACCTCGTAACCTGTTAAGAATCCTCGAGGACCTGTCTAGACTAAGGAGACACAAGCTGAAGCTGCGGAACCTTCTTAAAACACCTCTCCCATTATAAACCAGGGAAAAAGTGATTTCATAAATGGGTGATAACCATTTATTACAACTGTGGATTGTATTAAGGCAGGAGGATATGTGTCACAATACCGTGGCTGGAACATTTCACAATTAACCCACAAAGGAAATAGGTCACTTTGTCTGACGTTTTTTTGAAGTTATCCTAGGCAATTTACACATATGTTACTAGGTATGATAATAGTACTTATGTGTAGCTGTACTTATATAAACTTGCTTACTTACTTACCGTGGTTGGAACAATTCACAGTAAAGCCACACTGCCGTGGTTGGAACGATTCATACCTAACTAACAATGCCACGACTGGAATAATTTAAAACTAACCAACAATACCGTGAGTTGGAACAATTAACAATTGAAGTTTGAAGAGGAAATTTTTAGTGAACTTATTACCTGCTTTGTGCTACATGAGCGACTAGTTTATTGTGTACTCAGCTCATACTGAGCGATAACGCAGACACATTGTTACAGAAGTCAATACGGATCACTGTCAGACCTCACTGGGTATAGTAATAACCTTCCGAGTTCAGGCATTACAGTCATTTCTCACATTACACTTCCCTTACATTGCAATATGTTGGCACAGTCTCAGGATTCCAGATGTTAGAGGCTCACGGCTCTCTGTAACTGTGAGTAGAGTGGCTCACGTTGTGGTTAGTGGAAAGAGTATCGAGCCTACACTAACCATTCGTTGAGGAATAAACGTGGATGCTCCGAATTATATAGAGCTACTTCCGTTGTGGTGCTACTGCAGGTGTGGCACAATGAGTGTGTCGACTTCGGAAAAGATTTTAGTTACTAATAATGAAAGAGAGTGTGTGGGGGCGCCCGAGTGGTAATCTCCGCCACTAATTAGCCAAAATGAGGGACGATAATGAAGATGGTCTTGTTTTTAGCTGGAAGGTCTGAATTTTCTGATACCGTCCACTTGGCTGTGGATAACACTACGTAATGCTCCGTGCTTTGTTGATACGCTCCCTGCCTGGTGTTCCGTGTGCCACTGATGCCTCCCTGCCTGATGTTCCGTGTGCCACTGATGCCTCCCTGCCTGGTGTTCCGTGTGCCACTGATGCCTCACTGCCTGATGTTCCGTGTGCCACTGATGCCTCCCTGCCTGATGTTCCGTGTGCCAATGATGCCTCCCTGCCTGGTGTTCCGTGTGCCACTGATGCCTCCCGGCCTGATGTTCCGTGTGCCACTGATGCCTCCCTGCCTGATGTTCCGTGTGCCACTGATGCCTCCCTGCCTGATGTTCCGTGTGCCAATGATGCCTCCCTGCCTGGTGTTCCGTGTGCCACTGATGCCTCGCTGCCTGATGTTTCGTGTGCCACTGATGCCTCCCTGCCTGGTGTTCCGTGTGCCACTGATGCCTCCCTGCCTGATGTTCCGTGTGCCACTGATGCCTCCCTGCCTGATGTTCCGTGTGCCAATGATGCCTCCCTGCCTGGTGTTCCGTGTGCCACTGATGCCTCCCGGCCTGATGTTCCGTGTGCCACTGATGCCTCACTGCCTGATGTTCCGTGTGCCACTGATGCCTCGCTGCCTGATGTTCCGTGTGCCACTGATGCCTCACTGCCTGATGTTCCGTGTGCCACTGATGCCTCCCTGCCTGGTGTTCCGTGTGTCACTGATGCCTCCCTGCCTGATGTTCCGTGTGTCACTGATGCCTCCCTGCCTGATGTTCCGTGTGCCACTGATGCCTCCCTGCCTGATGTTCCGTGTGCCACTGATGCCTCGCTGCCTGATGTTTCGTGTGCCACTGATGCCTCCCTGCCTGGTGTTCCGTGTGCCACTGATGCCTCCCTGCCTGATGTTCCGTGTGCCACTGATGCCTCCCTGCCTGATGTTCCGTGTGCCACTGATGCCTCGCTGCCTGATGTTTCGTGTGCCACTGATGCCTCCCTGCCTGGTGTTCCGTGTGCCACTGATGCCTCCCTGCCTGGTGTTCCGTGTGCCACTGATGCCTCCCTGCCTGATGTTCCGTGTGCCACTGATGCCTCCCTGCCTGATGTTCCGTGTGCCACTGATGCCTCCCTGCCTGATGTTCCGTGTGCCACTGATGCTTCGCTGCCTGATGTTCCGTGTGCCACTGATGCCTCGCTGTCTGATGTTCCGTGTGCCACTGATGCCTCCCTGCCTGATGTTCCGTGTGCCACTGATGCCTCCCTGCCTGGTGTTCTGTGTTCCACTGATGCCTCCCTGCCTGGTGTTCTGTGTTCCACTGATGCCTCCCTGCCTGGTGTTCTGTGTTCCACTGATGCCTCCCTGCCTGGTGCTCCGTGTTCCATTGATGCGCTCCCTGCCTGGTGTTCTGTATTCCACTGATGCCTCCCTGCCTGGTGTTCCGTGTTCCACTGATGCGCTCCCTACCTTGTGTTCCGTCTTGCAGCCTTGCTCACCACCGCCAGGGTCTCAGAACTTAACGTAATCACCGCTATTAAGATGTTTCAGAAGTATGTCGACCCGGGGTGTAATGACAGTCATTAAGGAACCTGGGAAGTATCGCCTCACTCACGACACTACCTTGCAAGTAGCCGGAGAACTGTTGCTATTGTCCAGAGATTGTACCTTTGCGTTGTTCATTGGACAATCTCAGTATTAAAAAAATAATACAAAGACTTGTTCATACATCTTGACCCGCCTGGAATCAAATCAGTGTTCTTTTGATTGTGACCTGATGTGTGCACCGCTGACCTACGGGTACCTGCCCTCAGTATAGAAGAGAAGTTGAAGAATTAAGACAGTTATGCAGCATATGGGAATCTTTATCGAAGAAACGTTTCGCCACACAGTGGCTTCATCAGTCTTATACAAAGCAGGAAGGTATGAGGAGAGGAGGAGTTTGAAGTAATCAGTCCCCTCAGCCTGGAGTCGATGTGTTCAGTCCATCAATCTTGTTGACTGATGGATTGAACTTGTCAGTTTTCAAAACCATTTATCACAAAGAAGATAAGTAAATTGGTTGTAGTGGTAGGGGGAAATTGTGAGTGGCAGCTGTCAGACTGCAGCCAACAACGGTCGTTAGAGTGTTGAGTCCCTGTCTTGATAGGTAGTCAGTCCCTCAGCCTTAATACAAGGTGGTCAGTCCCTTTACAAATAAATAAATGATAATAATAAAAATTACTACTACTACTACTACTACTAATAATAATAATAACAATAATACTAGTATTAATAATACTAATAATAATAATAATAACGTGTGTGTTTTAATGTGTGTGTTTTAATGTGTGTTTTAATGCGTGTGTTTTAATGTGTGTGTTTTAGTGTGTGTGTTTTAATGTGTGTGTTTTAATGTGTGTGTTTTAATGTGTGTGTTTTAATGTGTGTGTTTTAATGTGTGTGTTTTAATGTGTTTTAATGTGTGCGTTTTAATGTGTGTGTTTTAATGTGTGTGTTTTAATGTGTGTGTTTTAATGTGTGTGTTTTAATGTGTGTGTTTTAGTGTGTGTGTTTTAATGTGTGTGTTTTAATGTGTGTGTTTTAATGTGTGTGTTTTAATGTGTGTGTTTTAGTGTGTGTGTTTTAATGTGTGTGTTTTAATGTGTGTGTTTTAAAGTGTGTGTTTTAATGTGTGTGTTTTAATGTGTGTGTTTTAGTGTGTGTGTTTTAATGAGCATATTTGTTTTTAATTGATCACGAGAATAAATGTTTTAATTGAGAAGATTTGTGAAAAATTTAGAATTTGAATATTGAAGACTCCTTCTTATTCCTCCTCTATCTCCTTCCTCTTATCTTCCTTCCTTTAAATTTCCCTTTCCCTTCTATTTTCCTTCCTCTATCTTCCCTTCCTTCTATTTTTCCCTTTCCCTTCATCTCCTTCCTTCTTATCTTCCTTCCTCTTATCTTCCTTCCTTCTTACTTCCTTCCTTCTTATCTTCCTTCTCTTATCTCTTCCTTCTTATCTTCCTTCCTCTTAATTACTCTTCTTATAATCGTTCTTTTTAATCTTGCTTCTTTCTTATCTTCTTCCTTCTAATCTTCCTTCGTTTTATGTGTTCTTCTATATTCTCGTCCTTCTTATGTGTGCCTTCCTCTTATTTCCTTCCTTCCTATATTCCATGTCTTTATCTTTTCCTTTGTTAATCCGGTCTTTTTAATCTTCTGCTTCTTAATGTCCTTCCTTCTTATGTTCCTTCTTCTGTTGTCTTCCTGTGTTTCTTATATCCGTCCTTTTTAAATCTGTTTCCTTCTTATCTCCGCCTGTTCTTATATTCTTCCTTCTTAATGCGTTCTTTCCTATCTGTCCTTCTTCTTATTTGTCTTCTTATGTGTTTTGGTTTAATCTGTTTCCTTCCTATTTTCTTACTGTATCTTCCTTGCCTATCTTCGTCCTTCCTATCTTCTTCCCCATCTTCTTCCTTCTTAGCTTCCTTCCTTCTATATTTGCCATTAGCTTCTTA